AACGAATTTCGTGCACCGGGCCCCTAGTAATATTATATGCAATAAACATTAATATTTCAAGAAAATAGGATTTTAAGTATAATAATATTATCAAAACTGTATAACAGTATGATATCACAAACATTGTAGGAAATATTAAAAATCTGCCAATACAGGATTACTACTATTATATTCTAAAATATCTCCCCCGAACCCCTCCCCCCCGCTCTATTTTTGTTCATCAGTTTATGTTGTTCATTATATTCCACAAATGAGTGAGATCATGTGATATTTATCTTTCTCCCCCTGGCTTATTTCTCTTAGCATGATGCTCAGAGCTGATTCTCTGGCACAAGCCACATACACAGGGTCTGGGGTCTCAGGTCCTGGAGGAACTAAGAAGCCACGTCTGCTCTGGGGATGATGCGGCAGTACACCTCTGTGTTTGGGTTGAGTAATTCCTGTGAAAGAAAGAAGAGATCTCTGAGCCCTGTAGCCTTCTCAGAACACGTGCCGTGTTTCTCAGGCGCCATTGGGGCTGACTGTGCTGGGGTGTCTGTCCCCGGGCACCTTCTCCTCCACCCTCTGTTGTCACTTTCTGCTGCCCTTTCCTGAGCCTGGAAGCACAGCCAGGGTTGGACTGGGGGCAGATCCTGGCACCTCTGGGACCTGTAGGACAGAACGTTCATAACCCACACTCACCTCATAGATGGGGCCTGTTGTCTTGGAGTCGGGTAGGGGGCCCTGTGCAGGGGAGAGAGAGGGCATCAGAGGACAGGGAGGGAGGGTTTTCTCCGCAGGACTGACAGCTCTGCCTCCTGAGCAGCTATCTTCACACCTGTAGCCCAGCACCCCAATTTCAGCCCTGACTGCACCCCCTTACCCTTGTTAGTCTTGGACCCCTGACTGGTGCTCCCAGTGCCCATTCTTCTTCATGCTGGACTCCAGGATTTCCCTCAGACTCTGGCCCTGCCCTGTCCACCCCTGATGTGAGGGCCCCACTAGGCCAGGGCGGGGCTCCCCTTGTGCTGGCTGTTCTGGGGAAGGGGTCTGTGTTGTGTTGAGAGGTTTGATGGTTCCCCTGCCCTGAGCATGAGTCACTGAGGCCCTGGGTGAGGGAACAGGGAGGGGATTGACTTACCGGGAAGGCAGAGGTTCCAGAGGGACCCTGGCCTGAAAGCAGAGACAGGAGGCATTAGCACCCAGAGGGGAGGAAGCTTTGGCCTGTTCTCCAAGGAGGGGGTTGTTCTTTAGCTTCCAAGAGCCAGGGGTGAAAGGTCATCTCCCAGGGCAAGATCCTCTGGCCATTTCAGACTCCAGTGAGGGAGAGGTGGTGACACATGACACAGCCTATAGGTCAGGGTTGACTGGTGATCCGGGGTCCACTATGCAGAGTGGTGATGAGAATCCCCATTGAAGCCCAGGGAAGGGCCAGAGCCTGGGGGACAAGGGGCAGGGGTGGACACTGTTTGGCAGGCCCAGGGGTTTTAGGCTGAACAGACACTCACCAGATGTGGCTGTTGGAGGTGGGGGCTCTCGGAGGCCACCGGAGTCACTGGCCCTGGGAAAGATCAGACTTACTTGTGAGGCGTGCAGGGGAGCTTTGGTGTCACAACAGGGGGCAAGGAGGGTCTCCTTTCAGAGTATAGGATGGAGGCCTCCCTCCACTGCTTAGCGGGGACAGGCCCAAGAGATAGCAACTGAGGCAAGGATTTAAGGATCCATAGCTCACGTGGGCCCACAGGCCTAAAGAGCTGCACTGTGACAGTGGCTTCTTCTG